TTAAAACATTTACCTTCTTTGTCCCTTACAAGTATACTGGGCACATTTTCTCCTCCAGCCATATAGGGAAGGAATATATCTTTTATACATTTCTTTCGCTTCCTCACTCTCTGCACATAGTAAACAGGCACTAAGTTTAATGAATGGGTTAGTAAAAAAAGCTCCACAGAGAACAAGTTTCCCCTCCTTTACAAATCCTAGAGAAGGAGGGCTCATGGTAGCTGCTCACCTGGTCACGCGTCTTCTCTCACCAAACAGCCTGATTTAGGTCTTCCAACGTTTCTCATTGATCTGTATCTGCAGATATCAATCCCTCACTGTGCGGGAGGAGACACCAAAGTCATCACGACTATCAGAAAGACCAGTCCATACTTTGCTAAAAATGAGCCTTATTTGTCTGAAATAATGGTCCAGGTATCTTCCTCTTGCTGAGAAGAAAGTGATGGACACTTTCCTCATGGACAGAGCCTCTTGCTCCATGACATGGGGTGGGTTTAAAGACCCGAGTGTAGGTCTCCTTGAGACCAACAGAGTGCATTAGCATGAGGATGGATAGAGTGGGCTTGACTTAGCAACCCTCGATAGGAAGGTTCCATCCACCCCGTACTCCAACTGCCGCTCTCTTAACTGTCACCCAGAACCTTGCTTCTCAGTCCAGCCACCTGCCTGACTCTTCTTTGGATGACTGCTGGCTCAGGACTCAGGAGAGCTTGTGATGACCAGGTGAAAAACTCTTTTGTGTTTCAGGGACCAACCAAACACAGTTCCTTGAGGAAAACTCAGTGCTTTTGGGTTTTGGTTGCTCTTGTCTTTGAATGCTTTTGAAAAAAATCTCACTGTCTCTCCTGATTTTTAGGACACTATAGACACTTGGTAATGTGAACATCTTTCAGTGACCTTCAGCTTTGCTTGAAGATTGCTTTCTCAGAGGCGCTCCAGACTTTATCATAGAGGGAAATACTTCTTTTTATCATCAAAATGTAAATATATTATTATTGCTATTATTATTTGGAATAAATGACCACTGTAAAAACTCATCCAAGTCAAGTATATTACCAACTCAGTTGTATCAGAATAATAATCAATCCTGTTTGTGGTATTTCTTTCCAGTCCGAGAGAAGGTGAAATAGTAATTCAATCTTCCTAGATATTATTCTCAGATTTTGTTTTCTTAATTCAAAAACCATATCATAGTGAACTATGATAATAATAATAATGGATAACATATAATTGGAGCAAGTACATATATATGTTTTTGTGTCTGTACCAAAATTAATTTAACTTCTTCCCTGTTGGTGGATAATGGGCTGTAAGAAATTTTGCCAGTTATAATAATGAATGATGTACTGAATCCTCTTTTACATGTACGTTTGCCTTCATGTGTTTATGGAATAATTATCCCAACTATAATTGTTGGGTCTAAAGTACTACATATTTGGAATTCTGGTAGGTGTCACTAAAGTATCTCTCTACAGAAAACTTTATATTGTTATGAGATGCTGTACCTCAAATGTACTATCCATATCCACTACACATAGTTGACTTAATGCTTAGGACGTTTGATTGTTTTAGAGTAACAAAAGTATTTTAAATTTGTTTAAAATTAAGATAAAATTTTGAACATGATAATGGATAACATATAATGAATCCATGCTGGTTTATGTCAATATTTCTAGCCATGACAAGAAAAGATTATTTTAAATAAGAATATATTTAAGTTTATACTTATTTAAATTAAATCTATTTATTGTTTTGTGGAAGAGGGAGCTCAGTAGAAGAAACATATATAGAGAGTAGTAATGTGCCTCCGGATTACCTGTTTCTCTATAGCCTTGAAACGATGAGAATTGTCTCTAATCTTTGAATGTCTTTTATACAAAAAAGACACTTCACTACTGCTTTTACATGCAGTTTTTGATTGTTTTGTAAGGTGTTATCTCCTAGACTTACTGGCTATTTAGATTTTTTATGAATTGGTTGTTTGTGTTCATTTCTCATCTTGGGTTGCCAATATTTCCCTTTCTGCAGGATAATAATAAATATTGCAAATATTTTACCATTTTTCCCATATCAGACTTGTTGAATTTTCTATAATAGCATCTGAAGTGTTCTGTACTGCCAACCTGTAAAGTATTTATTTTTTATGGTATCACTCTTATAAAAGCCTATCTAAATATTCCTTGTATTTGCCAATAGAATGTCTATGAACATTATTATATATATCAAAATTTTCAGTTCACCTGTGTATCCGTTACTTTTCTATTTCTTGGTTATGGTGACAAAACACCGTAATCAAGTCAACTAAAAAAAGAAAATGTTAAATTGGGATTATGGTTTCAAGTTAGAGTTCATGAGGGCAGAGCAAAGGCATGGTGGTAGGCAGCGTGAGCAACATCTAAGAGCTGACATCTTGATTCACAGTAGGAGTCAGAGAATGGCAAGAGTCTTTTGAAGCTTCAAAGTCAACTCACACTGACACACTTTCCTTACGGTCTGCAACTCCTAATCCCTCCCAAACAGTTCCATCAACTAGGGACCAAGTAGTCAAATCTATGAGCCTATGGGAGTCAGTGGGTGGGGATGAGGCATTCTCATTCAAACCATCACAACCTTCAATATATCTCTGAATGACACACAAATAACTATTAAACTATTCTTGTTTCCAAGTGCGTAACTAATTGTTCCAACATCAGAGGGCATAATTTGAAGTTTTACCTTTATCAGCTACTAAAATCTCATATATACATACATCAATCTGTTCCTTGAATCTCTTCCATCCCTTTGATCCATTTATTTATTTATTGCTACACTAGCATTATAATTTTAGTCATATAGCTTTATATCATATGCATCTGATAAGCATATGTATATATATTTTGATTTCTGCTAAAGTAAATCACTACTCCATCTCTTATAGGCCTCTTTCAAATATGTTCTTGATTTTTCTCTTATAGTTATGCAATGAATTTTAGTGTTACTAGAAATCCTACTGAATCTTGTAAACTTTAGAGATAACTGGAGGAAAAAGAACATCTTTATTAAATACCATCTGTTTCTCCAGGAGCCTGGCAGGTTTTTGACCCCCTGTTCACATCATTCTGGCTTGGCTATCTGTCTACCCTACCTTTACCATCTTAGTCTTCTTCTCCACCATGTCCCTTGTGAGACAAGAAGCAGGTGGCAGTAGAGGGACCTTACTTGAAATCTTCCAATGTAACTGGGCATAGTAGTACTTGCCTTTAATTCCAGCACTTGGGAGGCAAAGGCAGGTGGATCTCTGAGTTCAATGCCAGCCTCATCTACAAAGTGACAGCAGCAGCAACAACAAAAACAAACAAAAATAGAAAGAAAAAAGAAAGCAAGCAAGGAAGGAAGGAAGGAAGAAAGAAAAACAGAGAGGGGAGAGAGAAATAAAAATAAAGGAAGAAAGAAAGGAAGGAAGGAACCTTCACATGTGCCATGAGATGGGTGAGAGAGGCTGCCTTTGCCTTGATTCACCTTATGACTTCCTAAGATTGGTGTTTTGGTTGCCAAGCACAGCAGCCATGCCCAACTTCCTCAACCACCATTTCTGGTCTCTGTTTTCTACTGATTTCCTCTGTAGGTAGAGGGGTCTTTCTAGTCTTTGTAGTCAAATCCCCAATTTCCTGGCTTGCAAACTTCAGAGACTGCCTGTTGCATTAGCTTTTCTATTGCAGCTTGTACAACTTTGTGCAAACTTAGTGCCACAGAACATAACAAACACGCAGTCTCACAGTGCATGGTCAGAAGCCCATATCAGATTCACAGGGCTAAAACCAAGGTGCCAAAATGGCTGAGTTCTTTTCTGGAGACTCCAAGAGGAAATGTGTTTCCTGCCTTTTCAACGTCTCCAGGCCACCTACACTCTTTGCTCCAAGCTGCTTCTGCGTTCATCGTCACAGCATTTGTAGCATTTGACTTCCATTTACTTTTCTTATTCTGTCCTTTCTGTCTTCCTCTCTTCTAAGTATGATCATAAGACTGAGATTTGATTGAACCTGGAGCCGTCTTATCTCAATGTCTTTATGAGCACCTGCAGTGTTTCTTTTAACAAGTGTAATGACATCTTCAGGGTCCCTGGAGAGGGATGTAGAATCATTGGAGGACTATTCTTCCTAACTTAATGGTGTTGTTGAGAAACTCATGCCAATTTTTTTACATTATACTAAGCCCCTTCTCCACCTAGCCTCAAATGATGAAGTCTCATGACCAAATTGTTTAACCTCAGCACACTATCAACTTCCCTATTCTGGAATATGAACATCTTCAGTTTCTGGGCCCTATCATATTTCCTCTGTCCTGGTTCACGTTGTCTGCTCTATCTGGAGAAATCTTTTTCTACCTCTTCATTTGACAAAGTTCTATACCACTTCCAGCCTTGCCATGTACTTCCTTTTCCCTGGGAATGTCTGGGAACATCTGCTACCAGTCTTTTCCTATCTCACACTCTCCCACATTCCAGGCTTTCTTATATTGCCTTTAATATCAGCATTCATCTGAATATTTTCTTTCCTCCAGTATAAGTCATTTGAAGACAGAAGCAGTGGCAGCATCTCCCTTGAACTCCTTACTGAATGAATTAAAAAATTAATTACATAATAGAAGGCAAGTTATTTTTCTCTACAGCGGTGGTTGTCAGTCTTCCTAGTGTGCAACCCTTTAATTCAGGTCCTCGTGTTATGGTGATCTCCAACTATTAAATTATTTTCATTGCTATTTCATAACTGTAATTTTGCTATTGTTACAAATTATATTGTAAATATTTTGGAGTTAGAGGTTTGTAGAGAGGGTCCCACAGGTTGAAAACCAATGCTCTACAGAATCCATGTTACACATATTTGTTCATTTATCAAATATTTATTATACATTGGTGAATCCACAATCATTAAAAATAGGATATAATCACTTGAAAGTTATAAGGATAGTAAAATAATGGGGGCATGGTCATAAAGACATGAATGACAGGTCTTCTTTTCCAGGAAAATAGACTTGGAGGTCAGTGAGCCAGTCAACTATAGCTCTGGAGATCACAAATACCTGGTTCAGAAAGCAGCAATTAAAGGTGTCCGTTCTAATCTGGAACAGCCCTTCACATATTCATCCAGAGACACACCACAAGAAGCCATAAAATACCCACATCCAAAGAATAGAGATGGAGCGAACACTTATGCAGTACAGATTTCAGAGGACGTTACCCCAGATGAGAGCACCACAGCTGCACCCAGTCCCTTCGAAGACATGTCTGTTCGTAGAGGTAAGAGTATAGCGCTTGGGCTTGGAAAGGAGCAATGTTTTCTTAAAGTATTTCCATGCTGTGTACTGCCAGAAAGAATGAGTTCTCTTTTATTTAGCTCTTTCTTACTATGAAATGTGTAATAGGCTACCATCATAGCCACCATGATGTTGGCTGGGAGATTTAGAGATCCATAATAAACATATGGCAAATAGTATTCAGATTTCTTAGGAAGTGTGAGTTAACTGTTGATTATGAAATGTTTTGCCTACATACAACATGATCACATAATATTGGTCTAGGTCTTTAAACATTAATTCAATATCCTAGATATTTACTCTGGAATAGAACAGGAATAATATTCATCAGAGAATGACAGAAGTCTTAAAAATTGTGACATAAACAAATGAAAACTTTTTTTTTCTCATGAAATGTGACATTGAAGCATAGGTAGCTAAGGTCCATGCTATGGTTCCCCATGTCCTACATGCTGTACTTGAGCCTTCCCAGAGCTTGGATAACTTGCAGGTGAACTCTGAACTTTGACTCCCAGTGGTACCTCCCCTCTAGTCCCATCCTTTGCCATAGCCTGGAAAGAGGCCTTTGGGAACTCTAGCCTTTCAGGTTGGAGAGGGCAAGGGCCAAAGACCAAGGACCAAGGGAGGACAAAGGTTCTCGGAACTCCAAGCAGTCCCATTCATGAGAGGAGTCCCAAGAGTTCTCCAAACTGGACCTTTTTAGAGGCTTCCCCAGAAGCACATCCCTGCAAGAGCTTTCATCCACCTGCCATTGGTCCTATTTGAAGCACTTGGCCACTATGTTTGTACTTTCTTTGTTGGGCTGATTACCATGTTTCATAAGATCTGGGTCAGATCATGAGGTAGCCAGGGCAGAGGTGTGTCTAATCAGTCAGCAGTCAAAATGCCAAGACTTTCAGAGTGCCATGCAAGGACATGGGTTCTGCAATTAGTCTTTACAATAACTGTCTGAATGAACAAGTTATAAAGTCATATTGGAGATGTGGATGCCGTACTTAAAGAGGCAGCATAATCAGAGGCTTCTCTCCCCTGACCAGTTCCTGAATAACCACTCAGAGGCTTATACTAATTATAAATGTTTGGCCAATGACTTAGGCTTATTAGCTAACTGTTGTATTTAAATTAACCTATATTTCTTCTCTCTGTTTTGCCATGTGGTCCTTAGCATGTTACCTCATTTTCTACATGTCTTGCTTTCTCCACGTCTGACTGTCATCTCCCAGATTCTGCCCTTCTCTTGTATCTCTTCTATGATTTCTCGCCTGGCTCTATCCTGCCTTGCCATTGGCTAAGGCAGCTTTATTTATCAACCAGTGAGAGCAACAAATACTCACAGCATACAGAAAGACATCTCATAGAAAGGGAGAACTGAAATATATAAAGAATCCTCCTTGCCAAAGTCAATGCTCTCCAGCAGCATCTTCTGGAGATAGGCAGGCCTTCCTCTGCCTTCACAAGTTGCACAGTATGTAAGGTGAAAGTGTCCTGGAGGGAAGAAAACTAGAAATGTAATATGACAAGAGTTATGGAGGAAAGCCTGTAATTCTTGAAAGCATTTCTATGAAAATACAAAGTTAAATTCATTAAGTTCACCCTTTTTAAGCATACAATGCTTTCAGTAAATTTATAGTTTTGCAGCCAGCACCATAATCAATTTGGGATTATACTTATTACTTCAAAATGCAACTCATCAGAAGGTAAACCTATCTTTCTCTGCCTTGCCAATTTCAAATTTGCTTTACAACCCCAATGGATCTGCCCTTTGCAGCCATTTCAGGCAAGCAGGAGCATGAAACATGTTCTTTTGGAAATCACCTTCCTTCATGAAGCGTAAGGTTTTTATGGTTCAATTGCTCTGTAGCATCAGTTTGTATTCATTTTATGGCCATATAGTATTCTATTTCCTGGTAATAACACATTATATTGATGTATTTGTTACCGAGTTTGAATCCACTGGGAAAAGAGCACAAACTCAATCCAAATTATGATTAAGTGAGCAGGACAATAAATAACATTCAAGCCAAATGAAGGCATGCCATGCAGAATAGGCCAGACAGAGGGCTTTAAAAAGTGGAGTTCACAATTATCTTGTTTTTTTTTTTTTTCTTCTGGAATGTGCAGTTGCTCTGAAAGCTGTCTCACTCCCTCAGCTAGCAAGGAGCTTCTTCTCTTCCCTGCTTACAGGATGGAGACGTCGTCTCACTCCCTGGTTCACAGCTATAAGCGGGTTTACAAAACCCAGAGGAAGCAGTTCATAGTCTCACCACTGTACAGTTCTGAGGAGTTGGAGTTGCCGGGAGCAATTCTTTCAGAAATTTAGGATGAGTTCCCAGCACAAAGTGGAGCTTCCCTTACCCCACACATATTTGCCCATCAATGTTGGGCTGTTTCTCCTTTTGGTTATTGTGACTAACACGGCAACTCTAGTAGTTCTCTCCCTCATAGGCCATAGATCTCATCCCGAAAGCTAGCCTCCAAGGTCCACGCCTTTGTTTGGACACGTTCTTATACTAGACTCACTCATCAAGGTCCAAGTATCAAAGTATTGACGTTCAGCAATCAAAATCCCCTTCTGGCTACCCTAGTTAATATGTCCTATCAGAACGTGCTGCACATATCAGCGCATGCTAACACAGACCTCCCTTTTTTCCTCTGGAAAAAAAAATCACACCAGCAAGGCCATTTGCTGCTGTTTTCTGCCTGAGTCAGAAATCAGTCACTTTACTTTTATTTCCTGCTTAATAAAGGATCTCTCTGTGAAAACACATGTTTGGGGCATGGTTTGTGCCTAATCCTGAGTCTGGGAGGGAGCCCCCTATTGTGTTTAGGTCCCTTCAATTTATATATCAGTTTTATATAAACATACGTTTACACTTCTCTTGAATGGAATGAGGGATTTTTGAATGACATCACAAGTATGCTTAACCTTTTGAGGAATAGCAAAACTTTCCAAAACAGCTGCATAGTTTTCATTTCATCCAATAATGTATGGAGTTTTCAGTTCCTCAACATGCTGGCTAACACCGGTTATGACCTTTCTTTCTGACTGTAGACAGAAAGGTAAGTGTGAAACAGTATTACTTAATAGTTTTGATTCAAGTTTTCCTTTTCCCTCCCCTTTTATTAAAATAAATTTTTTCCCTCACATAATATATCACGATTACAGTTTCCCATTCCTCTACATCCCCCAGGTCCGCACCTCCCCTCCCATCCAGAGTAATTCTCCTTTCGATCTCTCATTAGAAAACGGTCTTCTAAGGGATGATAATAAAATACAACAGAATAAAATATAACAAGATAAAACAAAAACTTTCACATTGGAGTTGGACAAGATAAACAGAAGGAAAAGACCATAAAAGTAGGCCCAAGAATCCGAGATCCACTCATTCACAAACAAAGGAATCCCATAAAAAAACAGCAAACTGTAAGCAGTAACACATATGCCAAGGAACTGGTGCAAAAAGGCCCTGTACATGATCTCTCAGTCTGTGAGCTCCTATGAACTCTGAGCGTGTTAATTTAGTCGGCCTTGTTCTCTTGACTCTTACACTCTTACACTCTTCCTCCTTCCTTCCCTGAGCCCTGAGAGGAGGGATTTGGCAGAGACATTCCATTTGGGGCTGAGTGTTCCAAGTGCACTCACTCTGCACAATGTCTGTCTGGGGGTCTCTGTATTTGTTCTCATCTGTTATAGGATCTCTGAAGATGACTGAGCAAGGGCAGTGATCTAAAAGTACAGCAGAATGTTATTAGGAGGTATTTTATTGCTACTTTTTAAAAATTTGTTTAACCCTAGCTAGGTCCCTGGGCTATCTAGTCTCTGATTATTGGTCATACAAGCAGCTTCAGGTATCAGTTTCATCTCATGGAGGGACCTTAGGTCAAAGTAGCGATTGGTTGGCTACTCCCACAAGGTTTGTGACACCATTGTACTAATATATCTTGTAGACAGAACAACAACTATAGATCAAAAGGTTTGTGGCTGGCTTCATGTTTATGTGTCTCTTTTGGAAGAGTGCAGAATGCCTTCCTATACCGAAGATACTAGTAAGTAGGGATGAAGGCTTTATGTAGGCACCAGCTCAACTTCTTCTTGTTCAGAGTTGTGTAGGTGTTGTCTTTAGAAATGGTGCCTTGCTGTCAGTTTATGGAGAGTAACCTATAATCTTGGCATCAGCTAGGGTTGTTTGACCAGTAGTTGTTAACTCCAGTTATATTTTTTGAAAATAGTGTTTGTGTGTTTCCCTTCTTTGGGTTATGCTGGTTGGGGGTTATCAGATGTCTGTGTTATTGTGGGTGTAGAAAGCTTCCTTGGGTTGAGGTTTTCCTTCAAGTACTTTCTGTAAGGCTGGGTTTGTGGATACGTATTGTTTAAATTTGTTTTTGTCACGGAATATCTTTTTTTCTTCATTGATGGTGAATAAAAGCTTTGCTGGGTATAGTAGTCTGGGCTTGCAGCCATGGTCTCTTAGTGTCTGCAGCACATCTATCCAGGACCTTCTTGGCTTTCATGGTTTCCATTGAGAAGTCAGGTGTAATTCTGATAGGTTTATCTTTATATGCTACTTGACCTTTTTCCTTTACAGCTCTCAATATTCTTTCTTTATTCTGTATGGTTTTTTTTTTTGGGGGGGGGTTGTCTTCGTTAGGATTTCTATTACTGTGAAGAGACATCATGACCATGGCCACTCCTATAAGGAAAATGTTTAATTGAGGGGACTCACAGTTTCAGAGGTTGAGTCTATTAACATCATGATGGGGCATGGTGGCATGCAAGCAGACATGGTGTTGGAGAAGGAGCTGAGAGTTCTACAACTTGATCCACTGGGTGTAGCTTGAGCATAGGAGACCTCAAAGCCTGCCCAACAGTGACACACTTCCTCCTGAAAGGCATTGGCCAAAGCTCCTAATAGTGACATTCCCTTTGAGCTTATGGGGGCCAATTATATTCAAACTACCACAGGGTTTGTGGATCTTATTGATTTCTCAGAGAACACTTTGTTTCATTATTTTTATTATTTTTTTCTTTTTTCAATTTCGGTCCTGGGTATGATTATTTCTTGACATCTACTCCCTTTGGATGTGATTTCTTCTTTTTGTTCTAAAGCTTTCAGATGTGCTTTTAAGTTACTAGCATGAGGTCTCTTGATTTTTTTTTTATGTAGGCACTTAGTGTTATAAATTTGCCCTTAGGCCGGTCTTTGTTGTGTCCCACAAGTTTGGGAAGGCTGTGCACTCATTTCATTCAATTCTAGAAAGTCTTAATTTTTTAAAATGTATGTCTTGGACTCGTTTTTCATCCAGTAGTAAATTGTTCAGATTCCATGAGTTTGTGAGCTTTCTGTTGTTTCTGTTGTTGTTGGTATCCATCTTTAACCCATGGTGATCAGATAGGATGCAGGGTGTTAGTTACTTTTTCTTTTGTCTGTTGATGTTTGTTTCCGAGTATGTGGTTAATTTTGGAGAACAGTTTTTGAGGTACTGAGAAGAAGGTATATTCTTTTGTGGTTGGGTAAAATTTTATGACTATTTTAAGGTATTTTTATTGGGACCTATTGGGGTGAGGCTGCTGGGCTGGAGTGGAGATACACTGTCTTCCATGCTATTGTGTTTTCACACTGGCATTTAATATTTGGATTTGGGAAGATTGTAAGTCTAGGTGCTGACACCTTTTCTTGTCTTTGTTGGATGACTGTTTCCTTGGTTTCTGTTCACCTCACTAGTTCTTAGGAGAGCATTGAGTCTCTGTTTTGCCTGATAGGAAATGCTTCTGGGATCCTGATAGGTTCAGTTTCAGGTGGTTACAGGTAGAATGTTTTTCTGGGTATTGGGAACTGACATTTAAAAATGAGATGAGCTGGGGAGATGCTGGGGGAGAACAGAGGAGAGAGGAAAACAGAGTGTTCCACCAGCGTCTGCAGTTAGCCTACCTGCTTCCCTGGCTAGAATAACCTGTGAGTTCTCGGGCAGACTTGTGTTTTCTTTGGGGAATACCATTCTAGTCCTTTCCCCATTTAAAAAACACTGACCATGACTTTATCGTGTCCTGTGATTCTGTGCACTGACTAGTCTTAGACTTGGCAGTAGGTGCCTTTATCTGCTGATCTCTTTCACCAGCCTCAATAAAACATTTTTAATAATTAGACTAAATATTCTTTTTGTTTGTCTGTTCTTACAACCAGGAGTTTCTTTGTTACCCTGCTTGGTTTTCAACTCCTAAGCTGAAGCATTCCGCTGGTTTCCACCTTCTGAGTAACTGGGATTACAGTGTGTCCCACTGAGGCTGCTTAAATAGATATTCTTTAAAAGTTCTACAGAGATCAAAAAACATTGTGGAGATGTATGACATTCTCAAAGAATCACACACACACACACACACACACACTTTCCGAGTCTCTCTGTCCCACTGTTGACTAGACCAGTGCTACCCTTTCTAGCCTCAGATAATGGCGGGTCCATTGCTTCTGTGCAACTGGAAACTGCATTCAACTTTACCTTTGGGTGTGCATCTTCTCCCCACAGGCTTCATCATGAAAGTGTTCATTATCTTGTCAGTTCAGCTGCTCAGCACTATGGTAATCATCAGCATATTTGTTTTCTGGTGAGTCATTCTTCCTGTCTAGAATCAGATGTTATATTGCTCAAGTGACTGTTCATGGGATATCAGCTTACTTTAATGTGGGGCATTTCAAAAAGTATGATTTTTGTTCTTCATTATTTGTAGATGATATTCTTTCTATAGACAAGTTTTTCTGAACCACCAACATGGCAGGAGATTCTAGAATTTAACTTCCTAGGCCAAGAACATTTTTCTTACTCTTCTTTGAACATTGTTTTCTTTTGATATTCTCTGAGCATTTTGAGAAAGTTATGAAGGAATAATATTTATTTGTCACCAAGTCCATCCTACTGAAAGTGTTATTTGCAATATGAACCATGAGATGATTCCTTTTACCTTATACATATATCAGTCTCAGTATTGTACTGTATTGTATTTTTTTGATATAGGAGCTCACTTGTAGCTCTGGCTGTCCTCACTATGTAAACCAGGCAAGGCCTCAAACTCACAGATATCACCCGCTTCTGCCTCCCAAGTGCTGGGATTAAAAATGGGATGTTTGAGATGGGGGAACGACAGAGAGGGAGAGCAAGGAAAGAGGTATCTTGATTGAGGAAGCCATTATGGGGCTAACAATAAGCCTGGAACTAGAGAAATTCCCAGGAATCCACAAGGATGACCCCAGCTAAGACCCTAAGCAATACTGAAGATGGTGCCTGACCTGGCCTTGCCCTTAATCAGATTAATGACTACCTTGTCATCATAGAGCCTTCATCCATCAACTGATGGAAGCAGATGCAGAGATCCACAGTGAAGCAATGAGCTGAGCTCTCAAAGTCCAGTCAAAGAGAGGGAGAAGCGATAATATGAGCAAAGGGATCAAGACCATGATAGGGGTACCCAGTGAAACAGCTTACCTGAGCTAATTTGACCTCATTGACTCCAGCGTGGCAACAGGGGAACAAGCATAGGATCAGACTAGTCCCTCTGCATGTGGGTGACAGTTGTATGGCTGGGGCAATCTGTGGGGCCACTGACAGTGGGACCAGGACTTATCCCTACTGCCTGAACTGGCTTTTTAGAATCCATTTCCTTTGGAGGGATACCTTGCTCAGCCTAGATATAGTGGGGAGGCCTTGGTCCTGCCTCAAAGCAATGTGCAAGACTTTGTTGACTTCCTATGGGAAGCCTTACCCTCTCTGAGGAATGGATGTGGTTGGGGTCAGGGCAAAGGTGGAGGGGAGGGAGTAGAAACTGGGATTGGTATGTAAAATGAGAAAGGATTTTTAAAGTATGTGCCACCAAGCCTGGCCCTCAGTATTTTTAAAACTGAAGGTCTTCACCATGTGTTTCTTCTTAAATCTGCTGTGTAATTTAAGAAAAATAACTTTTTAAATGTGTCTTTCTTTTCTTGGTGCTGGAAATTTGAATTCAGGGCCTCACACATGCCCAGTGGTTACTCCAATGGAAGGCATGCTAGCCGCAGTTTCCCTGTTGAAAGGACTGTCTCAGTGTTTCCTCCCCATTTGCCTCAGGGCCATCTAGAGTTTGCCCATCTTTCTCATGACACTGTCATACTTCTATTTTAATTCGTACAATTTATTATATTATGTAAAACTGTATTCTTTTTTTTTTAAACCAGCAAACCTGTAAGGAAGTGGATAATTGGCATCCCTTGGTTCATGTACGCACTCTTGTAAGTATCATTCATGATTCTACGAATATTGGCCAAGATTTTATCACTATTAAAAAGTTGGTAAAGAATGGCAGTCTTGCTGGGTATAGTGATGCATGCCTACAATCCCAACACTTAGAAGGTAGAGACAGGGGATCAGGAATTCAAGGCCAGCCTTAACTGCATAAGACCCTGATTCCAAGTAACACAAACTAAGAACAAAAAAAACATGCAAAAACACCCAGGGAAAAGCATAATTTTCTTATATTTTACTTGTTTTTCTTTATGTGTGTTTCTGTGTGTGTGTGTGTGTGCTTGTTTGTATGTATATCATGTTACATAGGTGTCACAGAGGGGGACAGAGAATGTCTGATCCCCTGGAAATGGAGTTGCTGGTGTTTGTGAGCTGCCATGTGGGTGCTGGAAACTAAACCCAGATGCCCTGAAAGATCCATCTCTCCATAAAATCCTTTAAAGACAATATTATAGAAATGGGAAGCAAGCTCTCTTTTCCCTTCTCTCCCTTCACAGTTGCGCACGCTGCAATAAACCTCGCCACGTGGGTTTTTTTTTTTTTTTTTCGAGACAGGGTTTCTCTGTGGTTTTGGAGCCTGTCCTGGAACTAGCTCTTGTAGACCAGGCTGGTCTCGAACTCACTGAGATACACCTGCCTCTGCCTCCCAAGTGCTGGGATTACGTGGGTTTTGTTGTGTCTTGCGTCCTCCTTTCGTCTCCGAGAAGAAGAATAACACTCCCCCGAGAAGAAGAAGAACATGCCGCGGAGAAGAAGAACACTGACCAAGATGGATTATGGTCAGGATGACCACCTGGAAACATTCCAGAAACCACAGGACTCCGGTAGTGCCCTGAAACGCACGCGATTAGCCAGCACTACATCTCCCGGCGTGCCTTGCTGTCGCGTCACTTGCTGCGGCGAGAACTACATCTCCCGACAGGCCACGGGAGGAGGGGTGCCCGCGACCTTGAAAGCGGCTCTGGACTGCCTGCGATTTCCCTGTCTATCAGGTCGGACTTTGAGGAGAGGATGGCGCTGTCGTGGGGAGCCTGCAACCCGGACCCGGACCCGGACGATATCCGGCCTCTCAAGCCGTGTCTGCTGCGCCGCAACCACAACCGCGATCAGCACGGCGTGGCGGCCTCCTGCCTCGAGGAGCTGAGGCGCAAAGCTTGCGAAGTACTGGCCATTGATGAGTCCCTGACACCAGTCACCCTGGTCCTGGCCGAGGACGGTACAATAGTGGACGATGACGACTACTTCCTTTGTCTCCCTTCCAATACCAAGTTTGTGGCATTGGCCTGTAATGAGAAGTGGACGTATAACAATTCGGATGGAGGAACAGCCTGGGTTTCCCAAGAGTCCTTTGATGCCGACGAAACAGACAGCGGAGCCGGGGTGAAGTGGAAGAATGTGGCCAGGCAGCTGAAAGAGGACCTGTCCAGCATCATCCTGCTCTCAGAAGAGGACCTCCAAGTGCTCATTGACATCCCGTGTTCAGAACTGGCTCAGGAGCTTTGCCAAAGCTGTGCCACTGTCCAAAGGCTCCAGGACACGCTCCAGCGGGTGCTTGACCAGAGAGAGGAGGCCCGCCAGTCCAAGCAGCTCCTAGAACTGTATCTCCGGGCCTTGGAGAAGGAGGGCGCCATCTTCTCCAACCAGGAAGAGCCCAAAGCCGCCCTCGGTGGAGACGCGGATGCGGTGGACACGGGCATCAGCAAAGAGATGGCTTCCGAAGTGGCACTTACAAGCCAGATCCTCACTGTATTGAAGGAGAAGCCTGCCCCAGAGCTGAGCTTATCTAGTCAGGATTTGGAGCTGGTCTCCAAGGAGGACCCCAGAGCCCTGGCTGTTGCCTTGAGCGGGGACATGAAGAAAGCAGAGACAGTCCAGCGGGCCTGCAGCGCGGAGCTCGCCCGGCGCCTGCAGCAAGTGCAGAGCTTGCGTTCCCTCAGGAATGTCTCGGTGAGGAGGGAAGAGCAGAGCCCCAAACGCGCCAGACAAGACCCCAAGTAGCTCCACCGGAAGCACGCTTTGCTGAGGAAGCCCTTGGTTTTGTTAGCAGTGAGCAACCTCCCTTCCCACCCTCCGCGCTGCTCTACCTCCTGCCTTCCAGGATGCTGTTGTAGCAGAGGTGGCCACGCCCTCCAGAAAGGCCGCTCCGGTCCACCCGTGTCCTTCTGTGTAGGGAAGCCCCCCAGCCAATCACCTTGCTTGTAGGGCGTGGTCCCCTGAGGATATTTCTTACTAATAAATACTCCTGGTGTGCTCCCCCCCCCCTTCTGCTTTCCTGTTCTCCGCGGGAACCTCGGTTCTCTAAGTCTTTTCATTATTAAAGCCTAATATTAGATTATAAAAAAAAAAAAAAAGAAATGGGAAGCAAGTTAATGGGTGCCAGAAGTCAGGGACAGTTGTGTGTAGAGTTTATGCCAGGCTGATCTTTGTTGATATGTAAGACAGTCCTGAATGTTAATTGAGGTGGTGGCTACATGTATCTACTCATAGACGTAAGTCACACTCCCATGTTAAATAACTATGTTATACCAGTATACTGGTTTTTAAATTGTGCTATAATATATAAATCAAAATCGTTGGTGAAAATTTCATATAGTTTTAATAGAACTTCTCTGTCCTTTTATAATTTTCCATGAATCTATATTTTTAACAAAAAATTTAAAGACAAGCTATCTGTGTATCAAACTTTAAAAGCTCATTTTGAAGGCGTAAAAGAGAGGTAAGTAGAAAATAGCAATTTAGTTTGCTCTGTATATCAGGTATCAGCACATGACAACACACTTGGGCCTGTGTCCCTCTGCTGTCTCTGTACACACATGGCAACACACTTACATCTGTGTCCCCCCGCTGTGTCTGGACACACTGCTCAGGTGAAGATACACTCACATCTGTGACACTCGCTGGGTCTGTCTCTGCACACACTGCTCACGTGTTGGAGAACTGAAGTAGTAACTGGTGGTTTCACGTTCCCAGCCCAGCTGTCCTGGTTGTCATCATTGTGCTTGCGTGCTGTAGGGATATCCGACGCCAAGTGCCTGCCAACTACATTCTCCTGGCATTATTCGTAAGTGACTCGCCGTGACAGCCTCCCTCGGACACATCCTCCTGCTGCCTTTAAAAGTTATTTATTTCACTGTGGAAACTTGTGGTGCAGGAAGGGAGGTAGGGAACATTTGTACAGAAATGGTACCTTCCCTGGAGACAGCGTCCTCACCCCTTACAGAGTTGGATTCCAGGTCACTCTTTGTTCTGGCCAACTTGCCTCTCTCTTGAAGCCACACAAGAACCCACACCCAGTCAGGGCTGTGTCTGCAGTTAACGTAGGCACTAACAGTCTCTGTAGGAATAACAAACACGTTTCTCATCAAGGAGTTGCTTCCACTTCTCACCCACAGTCTGTGAACTAGAAATGGTAATTTTTTTTTTTTTTTTTGGTTTTTCGAGACAGGGTTTCTCTGTGGCTTTGGAGCCTGTCCTGGAACTCGCTCTGTAGACCAGACTGGTCTCGAACTCACAGAGATCCGCCTGCCTCTGCCTCCCGAGTGCTGGGATTAAAGGCGTGCGCCACCATCGCCCGGCGGTAATTTTTTTTTATTGTGAAACATGTATTTTACTACGAGTTCCTCATGAGAAGAAAAGTCATTTCTGAACCTCATCTCTTGCCCAGTTCTCCAACGTTCCTCTCCGTACAGGGGGTGTTCCGCTGACAGAGCTGGGGCTGTGGTGTGGACCCTTAACTATCCCCATCCCCAGCAGCTGGTCCCCCACCAGGCCTCGTCACGTCTGTTCTGTTAGCGGTGCTGTCTTAGCCATACAGAACTATGGGACTGCCCTTTTAACAGCCAATTCTGGGGTTTTGGGTTTTTTCTGCTTATGGGGTCCTTAGAAACAAATAAACTCCTAGTCTCCTTAAATCCAAATACAATCAAAATCTATAGTTTTACTCCTACTGGCCCAGGCTCAATACTCCAGAAAGTTTTGGGCCTTTTCATGAGACTTAACAGCACCCCAGAGTCACCCTCTAACCCAGACTCCTGTGAGAGTCAGGCCAAACCTTGTGTGTCCCAGAGGCTTGGATTTTTCAGCAGCTGGCGGGTAGACATTGCCTGGGCTGTGTGGATGCACTTGGGACCGACCGTCCAGCGCTGGCCTGGTATAACTAAGGGTGGTGTCAGCCTTGTGTTTATGTTTCCTCTGCATAGTGCTGACCATTCCTTTCTGTGAAGGCTGACTCCTAGAGCTGGCTCACAACTATATCTGCAATATGAGAGAATAAAGACATCAACAGGAAAATGAAACGGAAGGACACAGAGCAGGGAGACAAACACTCTTTAGATTAGTGTAAACAAATGCTCTGGATGTCCTAATCTTGGATTTAATTCTGAGTCTGCTGGTGCTCAAAGCAAGTAATTCCACAGGGCCAGGAATGTGAGTGTATGGGCACCAAGTAATTTCATTACAATTCCCCTGTTGGAAGGAACAGGCCTGGGAATATGGCTCGCTGCCACCCAGAGTGGTATTTCCTTTCGAGTATTGGGGAACCTTTCTTGGCTGTAGTGAATCCCCAGCAACTGCACAGGCAATGAAGAAAGATACCCCAGGTCCTATGGACTGTGGGGTAGTTTTCCCCCATCTGTTTTCCCAAGATGTTTTCTTTATTATCCTGGCTCAATCACTTCCTACTTCTCCATCTCCAGAAGGTGATGGGAAGGACTGAGGAAGGGAGCTGTCTGCTCATTCTGCAGCCCTGGCTGGTCTGCAGCGGCTACAGAGACCAGAGCTCCTCCTCTCCCTGCCTCCCAAGTGCACCACCGCAACCTGGCTATGCTAGAATTTTTTATTTTAAACATTAGAAGAAAGGCTGGGGCTGCAGCTGGCACAGTGTAGGTGAGGCCCTGAGCTTAGTTCTCTAGTACCACCGAAAATATTTTTCTTAATGAAGGAAGCCAAGAAGAGGGCTGAGTTGGTAAAATGCCTCTCCAGTGTGAGGACCTGAATCAGATCTGGGCACCCACTTGAGGTCCAGGAGCACGTCTGTAACCCTAGCACTGAGGAAATCTGAAGAGGGTGCAGATGGGGGAGGGGGGATCCCACGTGTTTATTGGCCAGTCAATCCAACCAAATCAATGAGGCCTAAGTTCAACTCTGAGCTCACCTTAAAATAAGGAAGAAAGCAGCTGAGAAGACAGTATACATGGATCCCAGCCTCACTCCATGTACATGTCTGTGTGTGCACATACACACACACTCCCTCATACAAAACTCTCTCTCTCTCTCTCTCTCTCTCTCTCTCTCTCTCTCTCTCTCTCTCTCTCTCTCACACACACACACACACACACACACATCAAAGTGCATACACAAATTTACATGAAGGCCTGTTACACGTGATGGTGAACTCTTCAATCACATCCACAGGAGGCAGTGTCAGGAAGATCACTGTGAGGCTGAGGCCAGCCTAGTTTACATAGTGAGTTTCAGGCAGTCTGGGAGTCTGGTTACACATCAAAACCAAAACTAAAGCAATTCAAAAAATTTAATAAGCTAGATTTTCTTTTTTAAAGAAAAGGTGTGCCCAACAGGTGGCGGTGGTGCTGCACACCTTTAACCCCAGCACATGGGAAACAGAGGCAGGTGGACCTCTCTGAGAGCCAGGTCAGCCTAGGCTCTGGCAGAGAGGCCCCCTGTCAACACAAATAAATAAACAAGCTCAGAGGGTTTAGGTTTCTGGTCCCCAAAGGGGCTTTCCTCATGGAGGCTCTGCACATAACCACTAACAGAGGCCCTGTTGTTCAGGGTCAAGCAATGCTTTCATTTCCAAGACTCAGAATCTTGTCCAAGTGTTAAAAAATAACACCGAGAAAAACATTTCAGGAAAACATTCGAGGGCTGGAGAGATGGCTCAGTGGTTAAGAGCATTGCCTGCTCTTCCAAAGGTCCTGAGTTCAATTCCCGGCAACCACATGGTGGCTCACAACCATCTGTAAAGAGGTCTGGTGCCCTCTTCTGGTCTGCAGACATGCTCACAGACAGAATATTGTATACATAATAAATAAATTATTAAAAAAATATTTAAAAAAAAACATTCGAGAGAAAACAATAAAACACTCACTCTTGCCACACAGATGTCTTTTGTCCCCTAGAATCTGTGATTCCCTGAGTCCCTGTCCTGAGCATGCTTGGAGCCACTCCCCCTCCTCTCTCTTCCCAGCCTGCCTGTCTTCTGTCCCTGTGTCTTCCTGCCTCCTGGCTCGGTGTCTCTGCACCCCACCCACTTTTGTTGATGCTGGAGAAATAGGAAGTAAAGGAACCAGGAGAAAATTTAAAAACATATCTTAGGAGGAAGGTTGGAATCAAACACATTTTTTTATTGATTTTTATTGAGCTCTACATTTTTCTCTGCTCCCTCCTTTGCCTCTCCCCTCCCCCCTTTAAGCCTCACCCAAGGTCTCCATGCCCCCAACTTCCTCAGGATATCTTGTCTTTTTCTACTTCCCATATAGATTAGATCTATGCAAGTCTCTCTTAGTGTCTTCATTGTTGTCTAAATTCTCTGGGATTGTGGTTTGTAGGCTGGTTTTCTTTGCTTTATGTTTAAAAACCACCTATGAGTGAGTACATGTGATAATTGTCTTTCTGTGTCTGAGTTACCTCACTCAAAATGATGTTTTCTAACTTCATTTTCCTGCAAAATTCAAGATGTCGTTATTTTTTTCTGCTGTTTAGTACTCCATTGTGTAAATGTACCACATTTTCCGTATCCATTCTTCAGTCGAGGGGCATTCAGGTTGTTTCCAGGTTCTGGCTATGACAAGCAATGCTGCTATGAACATAGTTGAGCACATGTCCTTGTGGCACGATTGAGCATCCTTTGGATATATACCCAAAAGTGGTATTACTGGGTCTTGAGGAAGGTTGTTTCCTAATTTTCTGAGAAATTGTCACACTGATATCCAAAAGGGCTGACCATCTTGCATTCCCACCAGCAATGCAGAAGTGTTCCCTTTTCCCCACAACCTCTCCAGCATAAGTTGTCATCAGTGTTTTTGATCTTGGTCATTCTTGCAGGTGTAAGATGGAATCTCAGAGTTGTTTTGATTTTTATTTCTCTGATGACTAAGGATGTTGAACATTTTCTTAAGTGTCTTTCAGTCACTTTAAATTCCTCTGTTGAGAGTTCTCTGTTTAGGTCTGTACTCCATTTTTTTATTGGATTATTTGTTCTTTTGATGACAAATTTCTTGAGTTCTTTGTATATTTTGGAGATTAGACCTCTGATGTGGGGTTAGTGAAGATTTTTTCCCATTGTGTAGGCTGTTGTTTTATCTTGTTGACTATGTCCTTTACTTTACAGAAGCTTTTCAGTTTCAGGAGGTCCCATTTATTAATTCTTTCTCTTGTATCTGTGCTGCTGGGGTTCTATTTAGGAAGTGGTTTCCTGTGCCAATACATTCAAGCGTACTTCCTACTTTCTCTTCTATAAGGTTTAGTGTGGCTGGCTTTATGTGAGGTCTTTGATCCATTTGGGCTCGAGTTTTGTACATGGTGATAGATATGGGTCTATTTTCATTCTTCTACATGTTGATATCCAGTTATGCCAGCAACATTCGTTAAATATGCTTTCTTTTTTTGATATTTTTTGCTTTTTTCTTAGTAACCAAATGTTCTAAGGTGTGTGGATTAATATCCTGGTCTTTGATTAAGTTTCCATTGGTCCTCCTGTCTTTTTTTATGCCAATACCAGATGTTGTTTTCATTATGGTAGCTCTTTAGTAGAGTTTGAAGTAGAGTTTTGAAGTCGTGATGCCTCCAAAAGGTCCTTTATTGTACAGGATTATTTTAGCTATCCTGGTTTTTTTTTGCTTTTCCATATGAAGTTGAGTACTGTTCTTTAAAGTTCTGTGAAGAATTTTGCTGGGTATTGCATTGAATCTGTAGATTGCTTTTGGTAAGATTGTCATTTTTACTATGCTGATTCTACCTACCCAAGAGCATGGGAGATCTTTCCACTTTCTGGTGTCTTCTTCAATTTCTTTCTTCAAAGATTTAAAGTTTTTGTCATACAAG